CTCTCCTCTCTCAATAAGTGAATTATTGACATAAATACATAAAATCAGCTGATGAATTTAGTTCTGTAGCTGAACAGTTTTAGATCTCGACACTTAACAAACTCCTGCCTATCGTGACTCGGCGCAAAAATTTAAAATATTGGTTCCGTACGTCATGCGGACTGCGCCCCTCGTGCGGATGGGCGGGAATGGAGGGTAAAAACCGTTGGGATATTATTATTATTATTATTATTATTTGAGGGTTGCCCCAGTTTAAAGGGCTAAACTAAAATTATTTAATAAGTTAAATGAATTACTAACCGATGGTTATCAATGGAAATGGGTTTAAAATCCTTTATTTAAGAACAATATTTAGGAGGGTTGCCACGTGTTTAAAAAAAATAATTTCCACTTAATTCATCAGTTACATGAAATATTTATAACAATGTCAGACGAAAAATATTTAAGAATTTTAGTTCGAAAATAATTTTTAAGAGGGTTGCCGCCTGTTTTGAAAGTAGTATTTCGTTTAATTATGTATAAGTTACATGAAATTTTAAAATATGGTTATCAAAAGAACGAGTGTTAAGAAATCGTTAAGCTGAACATTTCGTTTTTTTTTTTGTTGAAAAAATTATGCTCAAATTGTTTAATAAGCTAAATGGATTGTCACTCGAAATGGGTTTGAAAATAATTTATTTCTAAACTGTATTTAAAAGAGTTGCCATGTGCTTAAAAAATTAAATTCAACTTAATTAATTAGTTAATTGAAATATACATAACTATGCCAGGCGAAAGATTTTAGTTTGACAATACTTTTAAAGGGGTTGCCACCAGTTTGAAAAGTCGAATTTGTTTTACTTATACGAAAGATACATAAATGAATATCGAAATATTAGTGTCAAACGAAAGAGTTTTAAGAAAACTGTTATAGGCTAATAATATTTTTAATTAGAGTTTCCATCTATTTTATTTTTGAAGCTCATCACATCTGCACCTTTATTTCGAATTTCCAAAATGAGAAGTCAAATTAAAGAACTGGGATTCTACATAGATGTGCACAGGTTTTATTTTTGAAGTTACAGGGAGATTTGAAATTTGATGAAATGAAAACCGACACCATGCGAGACCTCTCATTACTCAGAAATGGTTAGATTAATCTTTAGGAATATTTTTAGAGGGTTTTACATAGGGTTTCACCTGTTTAAAAAATTTAAATAAATGTTGGCGTTTTAGTGCCATGCGGTTTCACTAGTAGATTTTATAATTCCAATGGAAAAACAGTACCGATTTTTTTTTTTTGTATGGGGAGTGATGCAGTCTAATGTACATACATATGGATGAGCTAATTTATTGCAAGTGGTTTTGATATTCGTAGCATGGTTTTAGGCATATGTTTAATAGTTTATTGATAAAAAAACAAGGCGAAAATTTTAAAAATTCTGAAAATATTTTAACTGGGTCCGTTAATAGCTTATGAACACACGTGTACATATATATACATATTTATGCATTTATATGTTGTTTGTTATATAATGAGCTAGACTTTTATGGAAAAATAATAAACATTAAATAAACGAAGCCAAATAGCCAAAATATATCAAAATGTTGCTGGCTTAATTAGCTGATCACAAGTGTATGGGCATATCCTGGGTTACGGACGCGACATTCGCACAAAAAAAGCTTAAA